AGTGATATTCCCACACGGCCTTAATTGCTACAAACCCTCATATAAGCAAATCCCTAATTTTCTTCTTAAGTTCTGAAACTGATTAGCATCCAAAGCCTTAGTGAAAATGTCAGCCAATTGCAATTTAGTGGCTACATGTTCTAAGGTAACAATCTTTTCTTCAACAAGCTCTCTTATGAAGTGATGACAAATATCAATGTGTTTGGTCCTACTGTGTTGAATATGATTTTTTGATATGTTTACGGCACTTAGATTGTCACAAAATAATATCATGACATCTTGTTTGACATTATATTCTGTTAACATTTGTTTCATCCAAACCAATTGAGAATAACTGCTTCCTGCAGCAATACACTCAGCCTCAGCAGTGGACAGAGACACACAATTTTGCTTCTTACTGAACCAAGATATGAGATTATTTCCTAGAAAGAAGCATCCTCCTGATGTACTTTTCTATCATCGGTACTTCCTGCCCAATCAGCATCACAATAACCAATTAAGGCAGAACTAGATCCATGAGAGTATATCATACCATAGTCACTTGTCTTATTCACATATTTAAGAATTCTCTTCACATGGTTGGCATGGCTAACTTTAGGTCAACTTGATATCTAGCACACACCCCTACAGCAAAGCAATGTCAGGTCTTCTAGCTGTGAGATATAGAAGACTGCCTATCATACTCCTGTAAAGAATTTGATCCACACTTACTCCTTTTTCATCTTTAGACAACTTCAGATGTGTGGGAGCAGGAGTTCTTTTGCGACTGGAATTTTCCATCCCATCTTTACTATGTTATTAGCATACTTTCTCTGAGATAAGAATATGGAATCTTCCACTTGTTTAACTTGCAGACCAAGAAAATAGGTTAATACATCAACAAGGCTCATCTCAAATTCTGACTGCATTTGCTTGACAAAATGTTGAACCATCTCATTTGACATCCCACCAAACATAATACCATCAACATAAATCTGTACAATCATGACCTTCCCTTCTTCTTCCTTGATAAAAATAGTTTTGTCTATTCCACCTTTCTATATCCATTCTCATCAAGAAATTATGTCAATCTCTCATACCAAGCTCTTGGGGCCTGCTTTAATCCATACAGAGCTTTCTTTAGTTTGTACACATGTTTAGAAAAACTTGGATTGACAAATACCTTAGGTTGTTCCACATAAACTTCTTCATTCAGATAGCCATTTAAGAATGCACTCTTTACATCCATTTGAAATAATTTAAATTTTAGTATGCATGCAATCCCCAAGAGTAGTCTGATTGATTCAAGTCTATCCACAAGAGAAAATGTTTCACCAAAGTCAACTCCTTCAATTTGAGTGTATCCTTTGCAACTAACTTTGAGTTATTTCTAGTGACCACCCCTTTTTCATCAGATTTATTCTTGTATACCCATTTAGTGCCAATCACATTTGTCCCTTCAGTCTTGGAACTAGATCTCAAACTTCATTTCTACTGAATTGTTCTAGCTCTTCCTGCATAGCATTAATCCGAAACTCATCAGTTAGGGCCTCTTTGACATTCTTAGGCTCAATTTTTGACACAAAGCAAGAGTTTGATATCCCTTCTCTTGATCTGGTAGTAACTCCTTTATTTAGATCTCCTATGATGAGCTCCTTAGGATGATCTCTCTGGGTTCTAATTGAAGGCCCATTATTGAGATGACTAGGCTCATGATCTTCTTGAGGTGGATTAGAATCAATACTTATGTCATTTGATTCTATTGGAATATCAGACAAAGATGTTCCAACATCTTCTAAGACATCTTCTTCATCATTCCATCCTCTATCATCAATAATAACATTTATAGACTTCATCTTAACTTTGGTTCTGGAGTTAAAGACTCTGTAAGCTCTGCTATTTGTAGAGTAACCCAGGAATATTCCTTTATCACTCTTAAGATCCATCTTCCTCCTTTGTTCACGATCAACTAAGATGTAACATTTACTTCCAAAAACATGAAAGTATTTGACAGTTGGTTTTCTTCCCCTCCATATTTCATACAAGGTGGCTGAAGAGCATTTCCTTAGAGTGCTCTGATACCAATTGAAATTCTGGTATTAGATATGAGATGTCGAAGGAGATGTCACGACACAAATATCTGAGGACAATGTAAAGTGCAACAATTATAAAAGCAGTAAAAACACAAAAGATTGTTAACCCAGTTTAGTGTACAACAACACCTACTCTAGGGGCTACCAAACCAGGGACAAGTCCACTAAATAGTATCAATTCATAGACCCTCATTAAACAACCAGTTTACGATCTAATCACTTAATCACTACCCGTGCTATACTTCTATCTAAGACACACCTAGGTATGATGCCCTCCTCAAATTCCTTCAATCACTTACAGTGAAGAACAACTGAAATAATAAGTTTTAAAGACTTCAATCATTCAATGTTTAAAAGCTTATGAATGATCCATAATTAACAACTCAATTAACAACTCAAATATTAAATCAATACTAGAGTGTATGACAATTAAAATACTTAGGCTTCTAAAATAGAAAGAAAGTATTCTTCTTTAAAAGTTGCGGTTAAATGGATAAGAAGTAAGTCTTTATAAAGGTGCATCAGTGGGCTTGGGCTGGAAAAAAAAAATTTCAATCTTTTGAATATTTACATGAAAACAAGCTAAGATATAATTCATAAGGATAATTCAAATAGAAATATATTCCTCCATATTTTTCGCAGCCTATGAGTCATAAATCCTGAATTATGGCATGCATGAAAATATGAAACAAAAAACTTAAATTGATGTGAGTTGCGTTCATCTCAGGAGGAAGATGTCAAGACATCTTCTTTGACATCATTCAAAACAATTTGCTTCAAATGTCAAGACATTTAGCAAAACATTATCTAAGCATTGTTTTACTAAAATTGCTGCCAACAAACACTTACAAGTTTTATTGTAAAGTGCTCTAGTTGCAAGAAAACTGGACATAACAAGAAAACCTGCAAGGTCACTGCAATACAAGGAACTGTAAATCAAATCACTGCAACTCAAGGAACTGCAGCTCAAGAAAATGCAACTCAAAGCAATGCAACTCAAGGCAATGCAAGGCAAGGAACTGCAACTCAAACCACTGCAACTCAAGGGACTACAACTCAAGGAAATGCAACTCAAGGCAATGCAACTCAAGACAATGCAAGGCAAGGCACTGCAACTCAAACCACTGCAACTCAAGGGACTGCAGCTCAAGGAAATGCAACTCAAGGAAATGCAACTCAAGGCAATGCAAGGCAAGGAACTGCAACTCAAGGCACTGCAACTCAAGGCACTGCAACACAAGGTAATGCAAGTCATGTCTGGACTAATGCAAGTCATATTGGGACAAGACAAGTTTTTGCATCTCAAATCACTGCAAGTCAGGTTGCAGCAACACAAGCATCCGTTACACAGGGATACATGAATGCAACTCAGTCTTCACAAGGAAAGGAAGTACCAGGGCAAGGCATAAAGGAGAAAGCTAGAGAAACTGGGAAGCTACAAAAACTAGGTATGAGAAGGCCCTTTGTACCCCCAGGACCAACAACAAGACTCTCAGCAGTCAAGAATGCAACTGGTCTTGCCACCAGGCAATCTACTCCAACCAAGAGAAGCACATCAAAGAGGACCATCTAGTTATAATTTTAGAGTTTATGTATTTTGGAACATGTCTATGTAACGTGTCATTCTGTCAACTTTTTGGAACATGTCTATGTAACATGTATGTATTTTGGAACATATCTATGTAACATGCCAACTTCGTATTTTCAGTTTAAGTAATATGATGTGTTCATTCAGTAGTAATGCCCAAAATTATGTTGCTACAATTAATGATATGCCAAACTGATATGCTTTGATTAATGATATGCCAAACAAAATAAGTCTTATTAAACTGATAACATGTGTTAAAATTACACATAACCTTGCACATAAATTTCCTAAACTAACATGTCCACGTCCTCTTTGCAAGGATCCTTGATAATTTCAAAAATTGATCACACTCTACTTACCATCTTTTAACATACCCAAACCAAAATTAGGGCTTACCTTGTATTGTGACAACCCCAAAATTTCTTTCCATAATTCTTCTCAGTGGTTACCCTACGAAGAACAACGTTGTCTCCACAACAACAAAGTGGTGCAAATTACGAGCTACTGTATACACATGAGTTAACACTTTCAAATTTCTCCAGGTTCGTTGGGGAAGATGAATGCTTCGTATTTATGGAGAAAGGGCCGAAGATGAAGAACGTAAAGAAAATTTTGGGAAGGAGAACGTAAAGATGAAGATGATGGGTATGTAAGAAGATGATGAGTACAAAGATGAAGAACGTAAAGTAAATTTTGGGAAGGAGATTTTACAGCAAGGTGAAGAACGCATACTGCATATAAAGAAGATGAAGAAATCTTCCAGCTCACCTGCCACGTCACGCAAATAAACGGACGTTGGAACCAATTGACGGAATGGACTTGTTTGAATCTTTTAGAAAATTAAAGGACCAATTTGACACAAAGAAAAGATAAGGGACCAAAGTGAACCATGACCAATAGTTAAAGGAGCAAAATGAATATTTTGCCTTTTATCTTTACTGTTTAAAATGTTTTAGATATGAGTTAGAATCTATTGACACAAATATAAGTTTAAAAAACTTACGTCAAATCTCAACCATTAAAAGGGTTGATTAAACGATTATATTAAATTATAAAAGTTTTTAAAAAAAATATGGTCTATTTTTTTCTTAAAAAATAAATTATTTATATGACCATTTGGTCGAGTGCTATTACCGATTGATATTTGAGAAAAAAAATCTATTAAATTTACCGTTGGTGTCAATTAATATTATCTCTTTAAATATTAACTAATGATATAATTTAATTGGTTGATTAAATTCTCTTTACAATTGTATGCGCCGGAAAAGTATTAAATTTCAAATGTATAAAAAGATATCTCTTTGGTATTATATAAAATCATAAACTAAAACATCGAGCTTTCAATCAAATTTCCAACTAAACCCTATAGGACTTCTAACAACAGTTTTTTCATGAGACCATTCTAAACTTCCAAAACTTCGAGTATTATTTTGTTCAGAACGCGATGTAGTAAATGTAACTGTGTATGATTTTTTCTCATTTTTCTTAAAACTTAACACTTCTGGTTCAACTGAGATCTTGACAGATGCAACATTTGACTTAACAGATACCTTGTATGTTCCTGCGGCACCCACATTAGTAAGAGTCCGGGTGTGTTTAATCTCATCATGCTCACTCTTAAAGACCACGGCAAAGGAAGGGTAATTAAGGTTTGTTACACTGTATTGTTTCTTTGGATCGCATGTGTAGTTTCTCCTCGCTACAATTTCGATATTAAGAGATGAGTAGTTCAATGCACAGAGGAAGCTCAAATAGTCATCCGTTGTTAAATCATAGACAAGTCCGGGATTTAGGGCGGAAATAGGGTTAACATGTCCAGCACCAAACTCGAATGGAGTTGCTGGCTTGTTGGTTGCACTGTCTAATAATGTTTGATTGTTTTTGTAAGTTGTATAAGCGGTTGTCATCAATGCGGATCGAATCATGGCTGGGCTCCAATCTGGATGAACGGACTTGATTAGAGCTGCTAGTCCACTTACGTGTGGGCACGCCATGGATGTGCCTGATAGAATGTTGAAATCTACGCGCCTAGGATCGGAAGCCAAAAATGTAGGACTCACACTTTTTGAATAAGCTGCTATAATGTTAACACCGGGAGCAATAATATCAGGTTTCAATATCAGAGGGGTTACTGAATTCGGGCCTCGTGAGCTGAAATCTGCAACAACAGGAGATGGATCAACCTTTAGCTTGGTTCCCTGAAACACAATTGTAGCTGTCGAGTTTGGATCAGAAAACAAGTAATTCTTGATAGCTTCGCCATCTGTGAAGCTAACGGAAGTTGCTGGCAAAATATGGGCATATGCTAGTGGTATTTCTCCATCTATCTTACTGTTGGCTAACACCATGCCCAAACCACCAGCAGATTTCACAGTATCTCCTTGGAATATCGGAGCCAACACTCCACGGTCACACAACACAATCTTTCCTGCAACTTTTTCCGGAGCCAAGCTACCTGAATCACATATCTCAGCACTTTTTCCTTCACCGTTGCTTGCATTCCCTGCATATATGATTGGCACAAGAGTATCGGGCAAATCATTGCCTTTATAAAGGGATGCACCTGAATAATTTTTTCCATTTCCTAAACTGATGTATGCAGGGAAATCTCGATCGATTGTTCCAGCTCCCACAGTGGTAATCCATGGCGCCACATTACCTACTCTGAAAGGAGTAGGGCCAGAATTTCCTGCCGAGCATGAGACTAGAATGCCATGTTCCATTGCTGCAAAGGCTCCAATTGCGATGTGATTCTTAAAGTAATCATCTGCTGAACCTCCGAGCGACACCGAAACAATGTTGACGTTGTCAGCAATGGCTTGATCTATCCCAGCCAATATATCAGAACTTGAACAGAAAATTTTCCAACAAACCTTATAGACAGCAACTCTAGCACCAATTGCCATCCCACGTGCAGTTCCATCAGCATAGCCAAAAAGACTTGCATTTTCCACCGCAGATCCTGCAACTGTGCTAGCGGTGTGGGTTCCATGGCCTAGATCATCTCGAGGTGATCTATACAGAATGGTTTCATTAATTGGACCCAAAAATGCCTCGAAACCCTTTGAAAAGAATCTAGCACCAATCAATTTCTTATTACAATTAGATGTTGTAAAATTTGTACCGGTTTCACATTCTCCTTTCCAGTTGCGCGGGATGGGCCCAAATCCAGTATCATCAAAGCTCTTGCTTTCAGGCCATACACCTGAGTCTATGAGTCCCACAATTACATCATTACTTTTTTTTGTCGTGGGGAACAAACTAGCAATTTTATCAAGCCCGAGAAACTCCGGTGTTCGAGTTGTGTGAAGTTTGTACTTTTTATCTGGTGTCACCTTTAGAATCCCATGTTGTCTCTTTAGTAACTGAAGTTCTTCATCACTCAAACTTGTTGAGAATCCATGCATTGCCTTATCATAGGTATAGAGTACTTCAGCTGACTGGGATACCGACTTCAGAATTGATTTGTACCAGATTGAATGGTGGCTGAAGCTTGTTGGCATTGTGGATTTCGCAACATGAACAATGTAAGTAATCTTATTCTCACTCTTTTGTGTTCTTGCCAGAGACACTTCATGCACACTCAAAAACACAAAAAGAATTACTAGCACATCTTTCATAAATTTTTCCATGATAGATAACTTTGTTTGTATGTATTCAAAATTTGAGATGAGATTGTGAGAAAAATGTAGTAGAGAACCTTACCTTATAAAGTGGTGAGAACATGCATCGGAATTTGAAATCAATGAAAAAGGACAGTAGAATAAGGAGAAATTGTAACAAGAAAATGGTATTCATTTAAGAAAAACATTAAATTTTATATTAAGTAATTGTAATTTTTGACTTATGACATCATATTATTCAAGTTTTTTTTACTATATATCATTGAAGTTATTGAAACAAAAATAAATACTTTCTTACTCATTAAGAAAATGAGTTAGTATTTTTTTTAATCTTTTAAATACAATATTTTAAAATATATCAACATTATAAATAAAAATAGGAATTTCTTACCTATAAAGTGGTGAGAACATGCATTGGAATTTGAAATCAATGAAAAAGGCAGTAGAATGAGGAGAAATTGCACCCAAATAATGGCCTTCACTCAAGAAAAATTCTATATTTAGTAATTGTAATTTTTTACTTATGCCATCATATTATTCGTGTTTTTTTTACTATATATCATTGAAGTTATTGAAACAAAAATAATTACTTTCTTACTCATTAAGAAAATGAGTTAGTATTTTTTTAATCTTTTAAAATATAATATTTTAAAATATATCAACATTATAAATAAAAATAGGAATTTCTTACGTATAAAGTGGTGAGAACATGCATTGGAATTTGAAATCAATGAAAAAGGCAATAGAATAAGGAGAAATTGCACCCAAAAAATGGCCTTCACTCAAGAAAAATATTAAATTCTATACTAAGTAATTGTAATTTTTTACTTATGCACTGGTGTAGAAATGACTTTTTATATTGGGTGAAACTGACTTTTTATATCGGTTCTGGGTCCGATGTGAAGTCAGGCGATATAGTAAATCAGGTACTTTTTACATTGGTTCTGGGTCCGATGTAAAAAGTCCTTTTTTTACATCGGTTGTGATCTAAGACTGATGTAAAAAACAATTATAACATTATTTTAAAAAAATTTACGTAACTTTTTACATCGGTTAAACGTGTGGACCGATGTAAAAAGTCTCTTTTTTACATCGGTTGTGATCTAAGAATGATGTAAAAAACAATTATAATATTATTTTAAAAAAATTAACGCAACTTTTTACATCGGTTAAACATGTGGACCGATGTAAAAAGTCCCTTTTTTACATCGTTATAATCTAAGCCCGATGTAATATATACAGTTTTGAAAGTTTTTACATCAGTTGGGAGTAATAATCGATGTAAAATGTAAGAAATTTTTTTAGAATAAATTATTTATTTTCTGGATGTTTCCCTGTACAAAAATAATTTGTACCCATTTTTTCATATTTTTCCAATATCACACCGACTATATTTATGTCGCTATATAGATTTCATAGCTTTCCAACATTACATAGACCACATCTAGGTCGATATTTTCATATTTTTCACAACAAACTTACAAATTGAACAATTGTATTGCAAACTTGTATTGTATCACAACAAACAAACTCACAACAAACTTACAATTACATATTCTTCACAAAACATACAAAAATATTCAACTATTTATAAGTCTTTTTCCAAACTTGAATTACCAATATAAAATCCACAAGTAGATGAGTTATAGTTTCGGTAGACAACACCAAAATCACATTGCCTGACAATAAATAATAACAATTAACATCAAGAAAAAAATCAAGAAACTCAATACATGTGCAAAAACCACATGTAATGTGCAAAATCTCAATAATAACAATTATGTGCAAAAACCACAACTTAGACAATTCTATAAAACTCACCAAGATAAACTTAATTTTTATATAACTCAAAGAAACATTTTGCCCAACGGAATCGCAAATCATACAAATCATCTTGTGTTAATTCTGTTGGGTCATCAAATACCTATAATACATAAATATAACAATATAGAGTTATTTTTAAAAAATTCATATTAAGTCGAAAAACAAAAAGTAAATAACAAAGTAAAGTTATTTTTAGTACCTGCATCCAATTCTCAGTTATATTAGCAGAGACAATATCCAACATATTTTTCATCACATGGTATCCACAATCATTAGAGTTATGTTGTTGCCTTGTCTACAATTGAATGACATAATTAGTGAATATTTATCATAAATTTAACTATAATTACAATTTACGTCACACTTACATTGGGATGAAGCCATGTAGCCTTTTTTCTATTTTCATTTGCCATTTGATGAATCCCAAAAGAACTAATACATAAAGATAAACATCACATAACTAAATTTATTCGCCAATGAAAAATCACATAACTATTAGTTGCCAATGAAAGTCACATGAAAGATAAACTTACTTTGTAATAATTTTCTTCGTGTTCTGGTCAATTTCCCAATGAAGTGAACAAAATACGACAACTAAATTATCTCTTGGACACATGATTATTAATTACCAATGTCTCCTGTACGTGTGTGTGGAAACAGAAAAGTCACATAAAATATATATGTTATCAAAATTAAATAATATAAAATACAATTTCATAAAAATTCTTACCCATGAATTAATGGTAGTAAGTGGCACACTCTGTTTTCATCACGTAACTTTTCTAGTACGTAATTTTTAACATCCTCTTGAGATTTCACTCCATTATCATTATAAATACACCTAGCAGGGTCCATAAATCCATATAATTCTGAAATGGAATTCTCAAGACTTACACGATGAATATACCTGAATAATTTTAAAATAAACATTAGAATCAAAGTGATGAGAGATATAATATATTAATAGAGATTGACTTTAATAAAACAATAAAATGTACTTACGTGCACCAAATTTGTAGAATAGACACGTCAAGCCAATGACCTAAATCGACCAATAACTCTCTGATACACTTAGCTGAAATATAAAAATTAGAGACACTCGCACAATGATTTAATTGTATTGCCAAATGGTTATCATCCATTTTCAAAACCATGAGTAACAATCTCTGAACATCATCAACTTCCATGTCTTTTGTGCTTCCTTTTGCAGCTGAACAACTTCCTTTTCCGCTTCCATCGATAATTTCCATTTTTTCAATGCATTTAATATTATCTGTGCTTTGTGATAAACCCATAGACTTAAGTGTCTCTATTAATGATTGTTGAAACATCTTACGCTCTTCAACCAACTTTTCTTCAAGTTCAGCTCTAAGTTTTGTTTCTAATGTTGCAAGTTGTTCATTTACATTAATATGTTGACGTTACCTTCCAAAGTAAGTGCTTTGTTTATGGCGTTTTCCAACACCACGAACACGACCTCCATGCTCAGATGTTCCAATGGCTAATGTTAAGATATCGTTACGTCCATCCGGAACAATTGCACCTTTTTCAGCTTCTTGAACTAGAGAATCCTACAAAATGCAAAAACAACAATTAATCAATCACAAATATAATGATACTTGAATAATTTTTCATTATTTACTTACAATTTTTTCAGCAACCTCTTGTGTAGATTTTGATGTGTATTCTCCTCCTTTCTTTTGTCGTGCTCTCTTTCATAACTCATGGCGTGATGGTGGAGATGGACTACCATTATCATCTAATGTGGAATTATCTCTCGATGATGACTTTTCTTTCATAATTTTCTCCTCAAGCAAGCGATACCCACCATGAGACAATAAGTGTGGGTATACATTCTTAGCCACATTATCCTTACCCTTTTGACTTTTTTCCTATTATAAACTCAAAAATTAATTAATCACTAAATATAATAAAAAAATTATGCACACAAAAACATATAACTCCTACTAACCTTAAATTTAGGGGTATCTCGAATCTTGAGAAACTCTTTTCATGCGTCTTCCGTAATAAAGTTATACTTGACATATGGAGGAGGATCATTTTCTATGGGATGATTAATATATCTGTCTGTAAGTTGTGTCTTAAAACCTCTCCATCGCTCTCCCGCATATTTAATCTATTCTTTATTCAACCTATCCTTCTTTGGATCTTTACATTCTGGAATAGTAAAATGAGCCTACAAATATAGTATATGTCATATGTTGTTAATTAGTATATGATTATAAAATATAATAAAGTATTGTATTTAAAATACCTGAATATCAGTCCAAATAACATCTTTTACGCCTTCATCTACTTCTTTCCAATCATTTTTCACAATACTACAGTACTGCCGAGCAAGACATGCTATATAACTCTTAAAATGTGTAGCATTTTTACCAACGCCAATACATTCATAGGTTCTTGCATTAAACTCGACCTTTATCTTTTCACCTGTTTGATGAACTTTGTCAATTTGTGTCATGAAAGTGGAACCTCTAACTCTTCTTTTATTGGGGTTACTAGATGAAGAAGGGTTGTCGTTTGAATCACCCATGTATCTGTTTACACAAAATAAAAATAATTATAAATAATATTAAGCACAAAATAAAAACAATTAGAAATAAAATTAAGCACAAAATAAAAACAATTAGAAAATAAAGTAACGTGGAATTAACTTATAAAAAAAATCTTACTAGTCCTCCCATATCCCTTCTTCATGGTCTATGCGAATAGCATGCACATCATCCCCTTCATTTTCTTCAATGAATGTAGTCACATTTATTGAGAAAGGATGAGTTTCAGAAATATCAAGATTCTCATCATTATTTTCATCACTATCATGGACATTTCCTTGTAAAACCACTGACCACTTTTTATTAGAAGGATATGTGACATAAAACACTTGTTTTGCTTGAGATACCATGATGAATGGTTCGTTCGCATAAGCTAACTTGCTAAGATCAACCAGTGTAACTCTAAATTCATTGATTCTTACACCACTGTTGATATCAATTCATTTGCATTTAAATACATGAAATTTAAACACAACATAATTAACTTTCCAAATCTCTTCAATCACCCCAAAGTACGGTGTAGATGCCATAACCGGGTTTTTATCTTTAGCACTAGAGAAGTGCATGGACTCGGCCATAATCATTATCCCACTATTTTGCGTGGTACTA